TTCTGAGACTTAAGCGTCTGCTCGCGGCTTCAGGTTCTTCCTCGACGGGTACTGCTTGTTCTGTGACTGATGCTTCCCGCACTGAGCAATCACCCTCTACACAGTCAGGTACATCCCCATGGGTTCTGGACTCTGGAGCTTCTTTTCATATGTCTTCTCATTCTTCCATTTTGTCCTCTCTTCGCTCGCTGGATTCTCCTGTTCATGTCCTCACTGCTGATGGTACTCCACTTTCTGTCGTTAGTAGAGGCACTCTTACCACTCCTTCTTACTCTGTTCCTGATGTTGCTCATGTTCCTCGACTCACTATGAATCTGTTTTCTGCTGGTCAACTTACTGATTCTGGTTGTCGCGTCATTCTTGACGTTGACTCTTGTTCTGTCCAGGACCGTCGCACGCACACTCTGGTTGGGGCTGGCCCTCGCCGCCGTGATTCTCAGGGTCTTTGGGAGTTGGACTGGCTTCATGTTCCTTCTGCTGCCACCACTATCGCCAGTTCCTCCGCTTCAGTCGCCTCTGTTACTGGTTCCTTCAAGCAGTGGCATCATCGACTTGGTCATCTGTGTGGTTCTCGGTTGTCGTCTTTAGTTCATCAAGGCCTTCTGGGGTCTGTCTCAGGAGATGTCTCTTTAGAGTGTCAGGGTTGTCGTCTTGGCAAGCAGATTCAGTTACCATATTCACATAGTGAGTCAGTGTCTAAGCGTCCTTTTGATTTAGTCCATTCTGATGTATGGGGTCCGGCTCCTTTCGCTTCCAAAGGTGGTCATAAGTACTATATTATTTTCATCGATGACTTCTCTCGTTACACCTGGCTTTATTTCATGACTTCTCGTAGTGAGGTGTTGTCTATTTATAAGCGTTTTGCTGCCATGGTTCATACTCAGTTCTCTTCACCCATTCGTGTTCTTCGTGCTGACTCTGCTGGCGAGTATATCTCTAAGATGTTGCGTGGTGTTCTTGCTGAGGAAGGCACTCTCTCTCAATTCTCTTGTCCTGGTGCTCATGCTCAGAATGGTGTGGCTGAGCGAAAGCATCGTCATCTTCTTGAGACGGCTCGTGCATTGCTGATTACTGCCTCTCTCCCGCCTCATTTTTGGGCTGAGGCCGTCTCCACCTCCACCTATCTTATCAATCTCCAGCCTTTCGCTGCTCTACAGGGTGGTGTTTCTTTCGAGCGTCTTTTTGATCGTTCTCTCGATTATTCGATGCTTCGCTTGTTTGGTTGTGTTTGCTATGTTCTTCTTGCCCCTTGCGAACGCACCAAACTGACCGCTCAGTCTGTTGAGTGTGTCTTTTTAGGCTACAGTGATGAGCATAAGGGCTATCGTTGTTGGGATCCTATCGGTCGTCGGATGCGTATCTCTCGAGACGTGACTTTTGATGAGTCTCGTCCCTTCTACCCACGCCGATCTTCCTCGACCTTTTCAGTGGAGGATATCTCTTTCCTCACTTTTCCTGACTCACCTATCACCCCCGTCGAGCCTGTGCCTATTCGTTCCGCTCCCTCTGCTTCTCCACCTCTAGTCGATTTGATGCCACCATCTTCCACGGTCTCCTCGTCTAGCATGTCATCGGATTCTACACCTTCATCTCCGGTGACTTCTTCGTCGCCACCCCTCGATTCTACCTTGGCGATTCCTCCTTCTATTGTTCCATCTTTTCCTCAGTATTACACTCGTCGTTCACGTCCTGTGAATGCCTCCGTGGATGTGTCGTCATCTTCCTCTCAGCCTACTTATGGCTTGCGTTCTCGTCCTCGTCCGCCTGTTGATCGCTTTGGATTTCCCACCGCTGGTGCTGTTGTTCTTGAGCCGACTTCTTATCGTCAGGCTGTTGTTCATCCTGAATGGCAGTTTGCGATGGCAGAGGAGATTGCTGCTCTTGAACGCACTGGTACCTGGGATCTTGTTTCCCTTCCTCCCGGAGTCCGTCCCATCACTTGTAAGTGGGTCTACAAGGTTAAGACTCGCTCCGATGGTTCTCTTGAGCGTCACAAAGCTCGTCTTGTGGCTCGTGGTTTTCAGCAGGAGCATGGTCGTGATTATGACGAGACTTTTGCTCCTGTGGCACATATGACCACTGTTCGTACACTTCTTGCTGTTGCCTCTGCACGCCATTGGTCTATATCTCAGCTTGATGTTAAGAATGCTTTTCTTAATGGTGAGCTGCGTGAGGAGGTGTACATGTAGCCACCACCTGGGTATTCTGTTCTTGATGGCATGGTCTGTCGTCTTCGTCGCTCTCTCTATGGCCTTAAGCAAGCCCCCCGTGCCTGGTTTGAGCGTTTTGCCTCTATGGTCACTGCTGCTGGTTTTTCAGCAAGTGCTCATGATCCAGCATTGTTTACTCACCTTTCTCCTCGTGGTCGAACTCTTCTTCTTCTCTATGTTGATGACATGGTCATCACTGGGGATGACCCCGAGTATATTGCCTTTGTAAAGGCCCGTCTTAGTGACCAGTTTCTTATGTCTGATCTTGGCCCTCTTCACTACTTTCTTGGGATTGAAGTCTCTTCTACCTCTGATGGCTTTTTTATATCCCAGGAAAAGTATATCCAGGATCTTCTTGCTCGTGCTGCTCTTACTGACGAACGCATTGTTGAGACTCCTATGGAGCTCAATGTTCACCTCCGTGCTACTGATGGTGATCCCCTCCCTGACCCGACGCGTTATCGTCATCTTGTTGGCAGTCTTGTCTATCTAGCTGTCACTCGTCCGGATATCTCTTATCCGGTTCATATTCTGAGTCAGTTCGTCTCCGCTCCCACATCGGTCCACTATAGTCATCTCCTTCGTGTTCTCCGATATCTTCGGGGCACAATCTCTCACCGTCTATTCTTTCCTCGCTCCAATTCTTTACAGCTTCAGGCTTATTCGGATGCTACGTGGGCTAGTGATCCTTCCGATCGCCGTTCACTTTCTGCTTACTGTGTTTTTCTTGGTGGTTCTCTCATTGCCTGGAAGACGAAGAAACAGATTGCAGTTTCCCGTTCGAGTGCCGAGGCTGAGTTGCGAGCAATGGCTCTTTTGACGGCAGAGGTGACTTGGTTACGGTGGTTACTTCAGGATTTTGGTGTTTCTGTCACTACACCGACTCCGCTCTTATCTGACAGTACAGGTGCTATTAGCATTGCGCGTGATCTTGTGAAGCATGAGCTCACCAAGCATATTGGTGTTGATGCTTTCTATGTACGCGCTGGTGTGCAGGATCAGGTTATTGCTCTTCAGTATGTGCCTTCCGAGTTACAGTTGGCGGATTTCCTGACGAAGGCCCAGACTAGAGCACAACATGGCTTTTATCTCTCCAAACTCAGTGTTGTTCATCCACCATGAGTTTGAGGGGGGTGTTAGAGTTATATTATAAGTCATGTACCCCTTTGTATTTATCCCGTTATATAAGGGGTTTCCTGCATATGTTTCACATCTGTACATGTATATATATCGGCCTATGGCCTCATGGGAATACAAGTTGCATATTCCTAACAAATCCTACCTTGAAACCATTAGTGTGTTACCCTGCTGGTACTACTACTAGTAGTATACATCATGTTATGGACGTCTGTCAGACGCATAGACTCCTGTGGCATATGAACTCCAACATTTTTATCTAAATTCACAGCACATCCCTTTAGATCATGTTTCTCCCTGGTTAGCAGAGTTGTTTATAGTACACTGAATTATTGATCATTGCTGTGTGCTGCATTGCTATCTTGGATTTGCAGCAGTATCATGCTCAAAACAGAAAAGGAGTATAATAATGCCTTCATTTCAGATCCAAATTTAGCACGGGATAACACCTTGCTCCACAACATCAAAATTTCCTACTTGAACTGTTATTTTCCTGTCATCTGGATATGGCATACCAACAAAGTACTCCCTCTGTCCATGAATGTAAGAAGTTAAGTTTTACATTCATGGACAGAGGGAGTTTACATTCATAGACAGAGGGAATATCTTTTATTTCACTCGGATGCAGTATAGTAGGTTTACTAGCTTGCTTGAGTTCTTGCTGCTACAACTGCTGTTATTTTGGTCAGATTTTGCTGTATAGGCCTGTCTTTCAGAGTGCACGAAATCAAATAGTGTGAGATTGGGGTGTCTTTTCCTTTTCTTTGTGGAGGCACCATCTGTCCATGTCCAAGTTTGTAATAGACCCATCCATTGTCCGTATTAATGAGTCTAGCATGATTTCTTTTTCTCAAGGTCGAGGTGGAGAGGATGCGAGCCCGTGCACAGGACAAGCTGATGAGCAAGCTCGCGTCCACGAGGCACACCGCGGATGAGCAGCGAGCTGCCGCAGAGTCGAAGAGGGACCGCAGCGCCGCGAGGACGGCGGAGCAGGCAGAGCACATCAGGAGAACCGGGAGGATGCCGTCCTCGCTCGGCTGCTGGAACTGGTGCTCGTAGCCGTAGGCCCGGAAAAAAAACAGCATGCGTTGCTCCTGTCAACTAGGGAATGGAATGAATGGATCTGGCACCGTAGAATCTTCTTTCTTCTCTTTTGATTGGTTCAGTAGATATGTGAGACGAGAACAGACCAGCTGTAAGTTGTAACTATGTGTATGTAAGTTGCGAGCTTTCTTGCCTTGTCTCATGTTTCTTGCATTCTTCAGTGATGCTGAGATTTCTGTTCAGATCCGTATGTACATTACAGACAGTGATTTGCTTCCAGATGGGATGGTGGCAGGATCTGAAGCCTTCATATGTTCAGATTCACCATAGGGCATAGCACTTTTCTCTTGTGGTTGAGATCCAGATAATACAGGTAAAACATCGGCAACGGCATGGGTGTTTCCTTCTGGAGATTGTAGACTACAAGCAGGCCAAGGAGATGACAAAAAGATAACTAATTTTCAGTCTGTAACCAAATTCTCGGATGATCAAGATCAGAAGATGATATCAACAATGTTTAATCAACTCTGTCTTGTAGTCATAGCGTATAGGAGGGGAATATGAAGGAACAAGAACATGAGCAGCAAACAGGAGCATATTATGAGGTGGCTACTCGAACTTCTTGATGAGTGAGAGGTCGTTGAGCATCTTGTCGACCCGGTCGTCGCTGTCGAACCTGCCGCCGGGGACGAGGGAGGGGACGAGCGCCTTGGCCTCGTCGGCGGTGTCGGGGCAGAGGTTGCCGAGGGTGCAGAGCTCGAACTCGACGAGGCTGTAGCGGGAGAGCGTCTCGCGGACCTGGCGGACGGCGTCGGGGTTCTTGTAGCGGCTGAAGCGCTTGACGTAGGCCTGCGACTTCTCGAAGACCTGCGAGACCTGGTCGGCGCCGCCGTCCGACATGTGCTGCAGCTGCTCCCACTTGTGCTCCAGGATTATCGCCACCTCGCAGTTCATCAGGCACTTGGCCTTCAGAAACTCTGCGCGAACAAGGTGAAGAGCGGCGGGGGTTAGGGTTAGTTGGCATGGCGGATCTGTTATTGGGAAACCCTAGGTGGGGTGGGGTGGGGATGCGTGAGGGGAGGGGGAGGGGGAGTGGGGGCGGAGGGACTGACCTTCGCCGATCTTGAGCTCGGCGGCGTTCTCCTCCTCCTCCATGCCGGACATGGCTGCTGGCGCTCGATTTCTTCTTCTCCGGCTGCCGCTGCCGCGATTCGGTTCGGCGTCGGGAGAGGGGACGGGGGGAGCGGAACAGGAAGGAGAAAGAAAAGAGGAAGGCGGCGTCGGGTAAGATCAGTGGGCTGGGCCTGGGTCGCGGATCCGATTCTTAACAGGCCGGGCCTACCATCGACTAATACAGAAAGGAAAACCGTTGCCTTTTCTCAAAAAAAAAAGAAAGGAAAACCGTTGCCCATCACCCCGACGGACCCATCTCGGACCGGCCCGCCGTTGACCCTCGCCGTCGCCTCATCCGACGTGCCAGTGAGAAGAACCAGGCGGCGGAGAGGCTTTTGCGGCAGCACCTCTCGCGCGCCTTTCCCTTCTCGGCATCAATAAGTGCGCGCCCGGGGCATCCAAGCATTTGTTCCTTTTATTTTGAAGAAGAAGTGCAACGCTCACACCCGCTAGATTGTATTTTACTCAACCTGGTTTGGCTGAGATCTTGTGGCTCGTGTTTGCCTAGTGAACAACCACTTTCGATGTAATTGTTGTTGCAGATCAGAAGCTTCCTTCCACTACGTACACGTCATGATGAGAAATTTGACAAAGCACGTTACGTCCTCGTCCCCCTCGTGTCGCCCCCGCGGGCAACCCTAGCCACCGTCCTCTCGGTCCTCCCCCCGCCTCCACCTCTCCTTGCCGCCAGCCAAAGCTTGGCCGGCTGGGCGGCGGTGGGGCGTCTCTCCCCCTTGTCCGTCGCGCTGGCGCGGGGCAACCAGATTGGATAGGGCGCTGGACTAGCGTAGGGTCGGGCGGCGCGGCGGGCGGGTTTCTTGGCGACGTCGTGTGCGGCGCGGTGGCGGGGTCGGCCTGCTCACAGCGTGGTGACGGCTGCGTGGTGGGCAAGATCGATGGTCGCGGGCGCTGTCGGGTTCAGATCGGATCCAATTCTGGGTCTTGGGCCGTGGGGTGGTGGTGGTCGTCCCTGACCACGTCGGATCGCTGGATTCGGCGCCTGGAGATCTATGATGGATTCTTCTCAATCCTCCTTCATGGTGGGTTGAGCCCCATGACTCTCTCATCCCTGCAGGTTTCGGTTCGTGATTCGTTGCCGGTTCCGGAGCCGACGGAGGTTTGGTGGTATAGGATGGGGACCGAAGGAAACATTGAGTGGCTTGTTCGGTCCGGCATCGGCGACGTCTCTCGGCGCTTTTACCCTCTGTGGAGGCAATGTTGAGGTCTCTCCTATCCACCTCCGAACCCTTCTCGGACGAAAATCCAATATTCAGCGGCGACGGTGTGGGGGTTGCCAGAAGGTGCGGCGTTGTTTCTACCGCATCGATGACGACAAGTATTGGCGGCATGGTGCAGCTGGATATCAACGACAAATGCGTCTGGATGGACAAGCACAGGGTGGTGGCGCTGTCTGGCGTCATGGTGGCGTCGACAGCTGACCTGGCAAGGTCTTTGTGTCGGTACCTGCTCTGAAGATGGTTAGGTGGATGACGGCTGCGGTAGCCTTGGTGAGTGCATCGGACCGGTGTGTGACCCATTCCCGGTATGTGGCTGCGATGGGGCAACCGATATTAGATATTAGGTTTTGGTGTGATGTATGTTTGGTATTAGGCTCGGACATTCGGCACCGTTGCATCAAGGGGATAGGAGTAGTGGTAGGTGTCAAAATGATGGCTTCAAACTTACTGATGTCATGATTTGTAAGGTCTCTGAGAATAATTAATGAAAAGGCTGTATGCATCGCTCAGATGCAGATGTTGGAGGTAATCCTCCTCTTCCAAAAAAAAAAATGGATTGATACTACCATTGCAATAGAGACACGGAATCATTACAACCAACAGAGAGTGAATTTAAGCTGCATAAAAACAATATGTTTCAAATGGAATTCTGATACAAGAAATTGTACGAAAATGTAGTTGAAGGCAGAAGATAAAATAATTCACGCCATTGTAATTAACCACATATGAATGGTAGCTTGTGGTCCGGCTATCTTGGTATGAATGGCAAACATGGACGCATGATGGCCTCGTCTAGCTAGCTTATGGTGCATAAGCTAGTGCTGCTTGAGAGAATAGAGCGCCTTGAAGATCCCCACAAGAACACCAATAATGGAGAGCACAGCTGCGATGGCTTTAGCATTGTCAGAAACAAACCTGCACACCATTATCCGCAGCCACCTCCTTTCCCTGCACCCTCCGGTACCCGCCAAGATGTTGAAGTAGCTGGAACCGAGGATCATTTGCTGGGCAAGTTGGTTGAAGAATGCGAGAATTTGCTTGTCGGATAGTTCTCCCTGGAGGAAACCCTTTGATCGCAGCATGTGCACGTCCTCCTCCCGAACCATCAGCATTGCGAGGACGGCGACGTAGGAGCAAACGGGAGTATCGTCATTGTTTTCGGAGTCAGGTATGGCCGTGCATACCTCAAAAGCCACCATGCATGTTGGCGAGCCAGGATGCCGTTGTACGGTCCAGATTCAGTGGCCGCAGGAACAACTTGTCGAAGAAGAGTCCTTTCCTGATTCCCATATCAGTTTTGCTTTGTTCGAGCTTGATGCCATTTCCTTCAAGTTCCTCGGCCCTAATAGGTACAGAGTATTGGAAGCCTGAGAGTCCATCATGCGGTGGTTTGGATACTGGTACTCCTTGTTTGTGCAATGGGAGGAGGCCAAGAAGATGTGGTGGTCGGTCTGATGGCGTAATGTTGATGTAGTCAAAGAAATCAAACGTTGACAAATTGGTGGGCATCATTAAACGTCCCATCAGTTCAATGAACGCGCCCACGTCTACTTCCATGGAGGTCATGAGAGCTTCGATGACCAACCAGCAGTATGATGTCATTAATGATGCAAGCTGTGTTGGAGAGCAAGAAACGTTGCAGCGGCGACGAATGCGTCGCTTCTTCTTCTTCGGGTGAATATAATCTCATATACTGCAGCAAGAAGCAGGCATCGTGAAACATCATATCCGTGAACTCTTCTGGGCTACCTGACACCGCGTGGGCGGCATATAGTCGGCGGGCCTGATCCGCGACGGCGAGGACCCGCCCATACATCTCCTCATATGAATGGCCCGAATCCCTGGTGAGGGTGTAAGCAGCCACGCGCTTCGCCTTCTCCATCCCCTCAAGATGGGGCAAGCCATGGTGGTAAGGACCAATGGCCAGGGCCATCGGGATGACGAACTGATCTCCCATATCAGCCAATCTCGCAGGGAGCCTATGGATCTTCTTTTTCATCTCGAGGGATTCCGCCTCAAACTCCTCTACAAGTATGCGTATCTCCTCGGGCATCCCTATATCTTCTCTATACTCCACAGCCTCCATGGTGTCTGTGGCTAGAGCTAGAATTATCAGACAAATCTGCCATCTCCTCCATCTACTACTCCTTTCTTTTTAAAAACCTCTTCTCCTTTCTTAGTAGCTACCAGCTAGTACTACTACACTACAACTCAGTACTTAAGACCTGCAGCTCGAACCTACATTATATAGCCGGGTTGCTCTTGCTGTGCTGGCTAGCTACGTACCTATCTAATATTGATATTGCTATTAGTATTGTTATTATAGTACTAACTAACTAAAATATGGTTCATACTACTGTCCAGAGCAGCTCACATGGGAAGTTATTCCGTATGCACGCCTAGCTACCTGTCCAATATCGCTATTGCTATTACCTACTATAGTATTGTTACACTTGTAACTAAAATATGGTTCACACACTAGTGTCCAGAGTACTAGCTCATTGGGAGTTAATTCTACATGAACATGTGCAAACCGCATCTCTCCGCGTTCTTGCAGCGACTTGTTGCCGATAATGGGCCAAAACAGCGTGTAGAAGTACTGATGATCGACATGTAGTCCTTGCCCCCCATCCTCGTCAAGAAGATGCACGCCGTCTGCCCACGCCTTACTGACGCCGTCCCCGAGTAGTTTTCGGCCTCATGCCGGTGTTTTGGCGTCACGAAGAGCAAAAGGCTGGCTCTGGAACGAGGATGCGTGCTCAAGCATCGCCCATGTACCACGAGGATCCAGCCATCCAGGCGCGGGGTTGGAGGCACCGCCGTACAGTCACCACTCACAGCATCGCCGCCGTATATAATTATAGTACCATTGTCCTGTAAGACGAAACCGGTGAATCCTGGATAAGATTTCGGAGCTCTTAGACTACCCACGGTGGGAGTAACATAGATGGTAACATCACACTTATCTAGGAAAAATAGATGATGTGACATGTTATTAACGAAGAAAAAGAGGCATGTGGTAACATAGCTAGTTACTGTAACATCACATATACACTAATAGAAAACAGGGCTTTGGTCCAGGCCGGGTCAGCCCATTAGTCCCGGTTCAGTCTAGAACCGGGACCAATATGGGCATTGGTCCCGGTTCGTAAGCCCAGGGGCCGGCCGGGCCACGTGGGCCATTGGTCCCGGTTCGTCTGGACCTTTTGGTCCCGGTTGGTGGGACGAACTGGGACCAATGGGCCTCGCTCCTGGCCCACCACCATTGGTCCCGGTTGGTGGCTTGAGCCGGGACCAAAGGCTCCCCTTTGGTCCCGGTTCAAGCCACCAACCGGGACCAATGAGGTGCCTATATATACCCCCTCGCGCAAGAGCAGAGCACAGTGCTCTGTTTTTTCTGGCCGATGGGGAGAGGGCTTTGTGGTGCTCTAGCTCACCTCCTATGCACATGAGGTGTTCGATGGAATGCCCGAGCCACACTACTTAAGCTTTCTCCTCTCGAAGCTCGACCTCCAAACTCCATTTTCCTCGAGATTTGTCTAGATTTAGCGGTCCGTCACGCCCCGTCCCCGTCTTCACCGCCGTCGATCACCCGCGCCGATCTCATCACCGACACCACCGTGGTGAGCCTCTTGTTCTTATCTTCTTTCTGAAAGGAAAAATATTCTTACTTGTATGTTTAGATAGATACTTGTATCATTTTCTTACATTTATTATTGCATCTTATATAGTGCGATGGTTTTGGTATCCGCC